TTCCGAATTTGATTTTAGTGGGAAATTTGGAGTGGGTGTTATTTAGACTTGTTAGAAATAGTATAAGGAGGTTGTATATAAAATTTGAAGTCATTTAATGGAGATTTGGACTGATTTTGAACAAGAATTGCAACTGAAAATCGTGGAAGAAGTTCGTCTACAGACGCTTGTATAAAGGTGTATAAAAGTGTATAATAGTGTATAAGCTATGTTTCTACACTAATATACACTATTATACAAGATTATACATAATTATACAAAAAACTGACTTCGAAGAAAATAAAGAAGAATAGAAATAATGATGTTTTGGGTGATCTCTCACACTTGTTTTTCTTGCCAAAGTACTCTCCAATAATGTTACATGCCTCCCTTGGGCGAGTTCTATTGTTTAAATAGGGTTTTGGGCTAAGAATTTCGGAATTTGCACTTCAGTCCTTCAATTTCTCGTCGCCTGTCGCGGTCCTACCGCGCCCACGCTGGGACCGCGGCCAAATGGCCTCTCTGAATCTCCTCTGACAGCTCACCGCGGTCCTACCGCGCCCACGTTGGGACCGCGTCAGTTCACCTCCAGGCCTCGTTTGTGTATTTCAAATGGTTCACTCGGCGACTTTGATGCGATTGGCTTCTTTTTCTTCCATAAATGATACAAAACCACTCCATAGCCTTCTTCTAATGTATGTAACCTGAAAAACATGAAAAGCACTAATAAGAGCATTTTGCTATCACTTTTACAATAAAAACTCTACAAGAAAGTGGTTCTTTTGGGGCTTAATCATAGTTCAATTCACCTATTATCAATTTCCATTCTTCTTATAATTATACTATGAGCTCAAGGCATATATTATGTTCTTCCTATTTCTAGGATACACAATATCTTCTTGTGCAATAAATTATCCTTTTATTAAATACACAAGAACCTAAGATATTATATTTTCTCCTGTTCGGCGAAAATCCCAATATCTCTTCTCATGGGTGGAGTTGGTCTCACTAGTACCCAAATATAAAACTCTTTTCCTAGTTAGGAACCTCCACCACTAATGTAGATTTATCAAGGATAATTTTCACATGGTACATTAAGCAGATATTCATGACTCAAATAAATAGACCATTTTGTGGATCCTACTTATTAATCATAATGCTCAATCCATGAATAGACACAATTTCACATATACAAATTTATTAAGAATTTTTCATGAGTTCAAATAAACAAACCACTTTAGTGGTAACTATTTATTACTCACAAAATTCTCAATTTACAACTGAAGATACATGTAACTCATAAAATTATTTTATGGCAGATTATGGACCACAGCTTAAAAGCCATGCCAATAATATAAAACTCATACAAAATATCGTCATATTTCACTTAATTACATCCTCCTACCAGAGAACAAAATTTTTCATTGAAAATCCAAGACTAGCAATTACGCAGGGCATGAAAACATAAACTAAAATTTGAGAAAATTTTTATGCACCAATATGCCAAACGCTCTAATCATTAGTCATCCAGGATATCAAACAAAGGATTTCACTTTCTTACAAAATAATTATATCATTACACAATATCAATTATACCTTATAAGACCTAGTGAATAAAATCCTCCACCTCTATTATTGAATTTAATTCAACAATCTATTTACTAATAGCTAATGTGTAAACCTATTATATCACCAGTATTTAATCATGGAGACCAATGGGGAGTCACCCACACCACCATTAAATTAAAAACGAATTAAAATTATTAAAAAATAATTTCCAGAAAATAGAAAAACATCCAAAACACAGTCCAAACGACCTCAAAACGCCGAAAAACACCATGATTCACTGCTAAAGCAGTGAGTTTTTCTCACCACGTCGTTTCCGATTGACCCACCAAATTTCAGCTCAATCAGAGTCCGTCAAGTTCACTGACCTCCGAAAATACCGGCTATTCGGTCAAAATCAGGTTTTGCATTTTTCTAGGGTTTACCCCAAAAAATTCAGATAATCTCAATCAAATATCAATAAAAAACAGATATATCATGATTACAAGAATAATCCAAAATTTTACACAGTTAATTCACAAAACAGCAGTGCAATTTTTCAGAAAACCACATATACATGTAATTCAAAAACGCACATAAATACGATATTCTTGTTTCATGAAAAACTTAGTTATCTAATTATATGTGAGTGGGCTCTGATACCAATTAATGGATTATTATATACAGCGAAAGCAATCCCAGTATCAAAATCACATGTAATCTAGACAACTAGCATAAACGGAATTTCACGGGTTACCTCTTGAAGCGTGAGCAAAAGTCCTTTATCACATGAGCCTCCAATTCTACAGCAACTCAATGAATTCTCTACCACCCGCACGATCACGATCTCCGAACGTTTCACGGTCTTCTACTGTGTTACCCAAATAATACCTGGAAATAGTAATTTCGTGTGGGCGAAATTTCTAAGGAAAAGGGGCTGAAATTCGGCCACCATGTGCTCCCTCTTCTAGGTGGAAAACCTTATGTATTTATAGCACAAGTTTTAAGGGTTAAAACCCTTTTCCAAAACCTGTTGGGTTTTCTTTTCCACCAGAAAAAGGATTCCTTTATTTTCTATTATTTAGGCACAGCAGGGACCACCGAATTTAATTAACAAGGCTTCCAATTATGGAATTAATTTATAATTTTCGAAATTAATATCTACCATAATTAATTACGAATTATTCCACTAAAAATTCGTAATTGCACTCCTTATTCAATTTTGAAATTCATACATTAAATCTTATTTAACTCCCCATGTTAAGATTCAGATACTAATCAATTAAATTAGATTACTGACGATTTAATTTATTGATTATTTCCTTTAGACTTTCGCTTAACTTATTTCATGTGTCGGATACAAATCCACCGGCGGTTTACGACATGAAAATATAAGCTTTCATAAAGGTGTATCATCAATCTCTAAACCGAGACATGGATTCCATCAACTAACTATTACTTCGCCAATGTACATTATTATTATTATCCAATTTACCAGGCATATTGACCACAAAAGAATCTCGCCTTTTAATAAATCAAAACAATAATAATATACACAACTAATAATAATTACATCAAGATTAAGAGTATAAGTACATTTAATGGCTAGAGAGTTTATTTTATTAAGTCAGTATAAAATACTTATCTCTACTTGGTCCGTTCAATACATACAAAATGTACTAGCACAAGAAGTTGGAATTAAACCATTCCCATAATCAAGATGAATTATATTTAATCTTGTGCTACAATCATTCCTGATGGTTTGTCCAATTCCATCATTAGATTGTGAACTCAAACTTTATACTTATAAGAACCGATGATTTAATCTTCCGTGTATAAGCTAAACTCTATACACTAAATCATCTACTATATAAGCAAAGGACACCGACTAATATATGATCTATTAAAACTTTATTAAAATTGAATAAACAATATTATCATAATAAATACTATATCTAAACCAAATCCATGGTTAATAGTATATATCCCAACAATAATGGTCTTCTCTACCACTGCCAAGTGCAATAATCATAACTGTGCTGAAGCACAAGCTGCCTTTTTGGGATCAACTTTGTATCATTAATGGCTACTCTAACTTCACCATTGAACTAGACTCTATGTTGATAGCAAATATGCTCAAGAATGGGAGAACTGATAACTACATACCGAAGAAAATTATTGAGGTTACTTCACATACCATGAACCAAGCCAATGTTGTCCCTATGCATTGTTTTAGGGATGCAAAGCAGGTAGCCTCTTGCTGCATCCAGCTCTGAAAATAAGATTTACCTCTCTATTTCCTAGTGCTGCAAAAGGCCCTTTCATCTTGGACAAATTTCAAATGCCTACCATTAGGACAAAATATGAATAAAGGCAAATTTTTTTGTTAGTTAATCTTGCTTAGTCTATTTCTGTCGAACAGGGGAGTAATGTTATAATACATCTCATGTTCTTTCTGAAGGACATCCTTTGTCTTTGTGTTGTAATCTTTGGAGGTAAGACCACATCCACTCTATCATTTCAATAATACAACACTCCCAGTTAAACCGGCAAAAAAGTTTTAAAATGTTAATATATATAGTGCCATAAACTTTGTCAATTGACGCCCAACTTTTATCAAATTAAGATTGAATACAAAAAGAATTGCACAACAGATTGATATCAATTTCAGAATTTATTAAAGCCGAATGGGTTATATCGGGACTTGATTCTAAAGATATATATGAATCCCATTACCGTGAATCTTACTTAATAATAGCGTACGCACTTCTTCAAATAGAATATTGCTTCTGCTAGATCTATGTAATCCTCGAAATATATAAATAACTAAGTGATAATAACTTAATCATTGTAGATATTGATCCAAATCAATATAAAACCCTTATTTTGTAATTTAGGGGCCGATGAATTGCCCGATGAATGTTATGAATTCAGGTTAGCTCGAATTGCATAATACTACCTCGAGATTTGAATAGTTCTCCACTGCAGTACTCCGTCCCCGAGATAATTTTATTCATCCAAGTAAAAATAGTACTGCTTCCGTTGGGTGGCGGTGTTCGGATTTCAAAAGTTAAGTAAGTTTTTTCTTTACTGTGATTTTTCAGATATTTTTTAGATATTTTGAATTATTAATTATTGTGTCTTAATATATTTTTTATTTCAAAAACTGTACAGATTTTATATTTGAATCCATGGTTAAGAATAAAGAAGTTGACAAGAGGGGGTTGCTCAGACGGTCAGCACCCCCACCTACAACGTGAGGGTTGTGGGTTTGAGTTACCAAAGAAACAATAGCTCCAACGAAGGGGGATCAAAGGCGAATTTCAAACAATGACACATAAATTAGGACATATTTTACACATATTGTGTACATGAATAAAGCTCAAAATTAAACATAAGTATTTGTTTAAAAAAACAAACTTCATAACTACGTGGCAAATCAAGCAGCACGAAATAGGACGCAAGCCTTTAGGTTCAATAGGTTTTAAGTAGAAGACCACTATCCATTGAACAACAAGGTCATAGAAATGAAGGACATATCTCTCCGGAAACGCTACGTCCCTTTCCCTAATAACGGCAAATTAATCCCAAAACTTCGCACCATTTTTATTGTCAAGAGCTTTCTAATTATTATTTGCTTAGTCGCCTCAGTATCTCTAATCTCCTATGCTTACAATGCTGTTGTGGTTACAAATAAACTAGTAGTAGAAAATATCAGCAAAGAAGAAGCAGAAGAAACAAACATATCCCATATTCTGTTTGGCATTGGAGGGTCGGCTAAAACATGGAACAATCGCTCGCGTTACTCTGAGCTCTGGTGGAGACCAAAAGTAACGCGAGGGTTCGTGTGGCTCGATGAAAATCCCCAAGTAAACGAGCCATGGCCGGATACTTTCCCATCCTATAGGATTTCCCAAGACACTTCCACATTCAAATATACATGTTGGTTCGGTGACAGATCAGCTGTGAGAATAGCAAGGATTGTAAAGGAGAGCTTTGAACTAGGTTTAAACAATGTGAGGTGGTTTGTAATGGGAGATGACGATACAGTGTTTTTTCCAGAGAATTTGGTGACAGTTTTGGCTAAATATGATCACAACCAAATGTATTACATTGGTGGGAATTCCGAAAGTGTGGAGATAAACGTATTTGGTTCATACAGCATGGCATTCGGCGGTGGCGGCATTGCTATTAGCTATCCTCTCGCGGCGGAGCTCGCGAAGATTTTAGATGGTTGCATTAATCGCTACCATTACCTGTTCGCTTCTGATCAAAAGATTGGTAGTTGTGTGGCTGAGATCGGCGTTTCTCTCACGAAAGAACTCGGTTTCCATCAGGTACACGTACAATCTTTAAAGGGCAATTTTAACAATTTCTCTATGTGTCATCTCACTATAGAGCTTTTGTCACATTTATATGATATCATTATTGTCTGGAGGAGTCAAATTGAGTTTTTTTAAGTATTATGATTTTAACAAACATTTTGAGCTATTTTTAATTCTAAAATAGTTATATGTATGATAGTAAAATAATTCCTCTGTCCCATTTTATGTGACTAGTTCTATATATAGTTGTCCAATATTTCTTTTTTATGTGACAGACTTCACTTTTTTTAATTTGTCAAAACAAAATGATACATTTCCGTACTTAAAAATGATGTACTTTTAAACTTCTGAATTTACTATTTTATCTGTGTTTGTGTTAAGATGGATATACAAGGAAGTCCACGAGGTCTTTTGGCAGCACATCCTGTGGCGCCTCTAGTCTCAATGCACCATCTAGACGTGTATATGTTAAATTCATTGATTCCTTCATTGAGCCGATTTGAGTCAGTGAAGAAGGTGATTAAGGCTTATAATAAGGACCCAAGTCGGACGTTGCAACATAGTTTGTGCTATGACCTAAAGAGAAACTGGTCATTGTCAGTGTCTTGGGGATTCTCAATTCAGTTATATCCATGGCTGATGAATGCAAGGGAATTGGAGATGCCAATGCAGACGTTCAAGACATGGAAAGGGTCTGAAGAACCATTCACATTCAATACACGGCCAAACAATGTAGAACCGTGCAAGAGTCCTATAGAGTATTACTTGGATCAAGTTGTTGACCTTCCCAATGGTGAAACCTTGACCAGTTATAGTATCATTGCCGATAGTAACAAGCAATGCGAGAACCAAAATTATAGACCAGCATTAGCAGTTCGTATGGTTAATGTCACAGCTACCATTCTACGTCCCCAAGTTTGGAGACAGGTAAATATCAACTCCATTAATTCGTCTCGTTTTATGTGAATCATATTTTAGTAGGTACATGAAGTTAGAAGAAATAAATAATTTTAAAACTCCTAGTCTTATATATGTTATATATGTCAAGGTTAAATTAGGTCTGTTTATCTTTTGAAGGAAGCTAAAACATAAATTATATCACATAAAATGAAACGAAGTGATTAATTAATTTATTTTGATGAAATCTTTCTTATATGTTTTAGTAACATTAGATTGATGAGTATACATGTAAGAATATCCACCTTAAATTAATAGACCATTTTTTGGTTTGTGAAGAATTTAATTGGTGAACCCATTGTATTAAAAACAGGCACCACGACGACAATGTTGTGAAGTAATCAATGAAGAAGATAGTATTGAGAGCAACTTACATATCAGAATTAGAGGTTGCAATAAGTGGGAATCAGTAACACCGCCCTTTTACGACAAGTATGGAGACTTTGCTTATTTTCAGAGAATGGTTCGATGAATGAAAAGTGAAACTTTTCAGTGGCTATCTGGGAGAGAAAATTGAAATCCTTACTAACCAATTGTATCCATTGTTATCTTTTTTTTCTATATATATATATATATATATATATATATATATATATATATATATATATATATATATATATATATATATATATATATATAT